ATACTATTGTGAGCGTTCTAAACCTTTAGATTATTATGTAATATAATTAAGCAATAAAGTACAATAAGATTTTTATTGTTTTTATTGTTTACATTACGTCGCTTGAAAGAAAGATGTTTAATATTATTTCCATATATATATACTGATTGCGAATTGCAATGAATATTATTATGGCCTCAGTGATCTAAAGACTTAAGATGCTCGCATATATACTAAGAAGAATACTAAGACATTCGGGTTCGATTTCCAGCCGAGATAATATTTTTGTAAATAAATTTATTTACAGATTTTCAACATATTAAGATATATCTTTAATAGATTGCCTTTAATAGATTGAGCATCAAAAATTATGAAATTATTTCAGTAGTATAGCTGCGTTTTTAAGTCCAGAAAAATTAATTTGACGCGCAGTTGAAATGATTATACAAATATGATATAAATATATGTATATGTAGTATATATACAAATTCACATTGAATTATTTAAACATTGAAGATTCCGCCGCTTTGATTGTTATAGGCCTTTATTTTCTATTTCCTATTGGATTTATTTATCATTTATTATTTGTATACTCAAACACGAAATATATAGAAGATGATAAAAAATTAACTTTTATTAAATAGTTTGTGCTCTTTACACTTCACATTTATTTCAATAAATGTCATCTCATATTTCACTCCTAAGATTTTGTAAATTAGGTAACGTTGTTTAAGGTAATAATTAATTTCGTTTTGAAATGATATTATAACAATGAATTCTAAAAATTCTAATTCGAAAAATATATGGCATTTGAATTACAAAATCTGTGTACATTTTAATGGTAACAAATTTAAAATCAAAATTTCAATAATTATTAAATTTAATAATTATTTAAGAAATAAATGAAATAATTTAAGAAATACTTTTGTTTTTATACAAAAAGTTACATGCAATTAATATTTGTCATTGTTACTTCCTTTCGAAAAACTCTACATTCCAAAAAAAAATTTTATAATTAAAAAATTATAGTTATTGTATTATAATTTAAACAAGAAAATAAGATTATATTGCTGCTAAAAATAAAGATTAATCTTATTTTCTAAATTTATTGAATCGTATTCAATTTCATCCTTATTCAGTATGAATATATGTGTATGAAACATAAAGAATTAATAAAAATTTTAAAAAATAATTAAATATTACATTTAATATAATATAATATTATAATTTAATAATTCTGTTTGAAGTAATTAATCAGATATCTAAATTTACATTTAAAAAAGAAAAATTTTAAATAATTATTACATGTAGTAGTTACATTTGTTATTAGTAAATAACTTGTCCATATACACGATGTCCTAAATATGAACCCACATGAAGTCACATCAATTTTGATATCTGGAGCGTACATATTGCATCTGGATATTTGTACATGATGATTTAGAATTCTATTTGACAATTTAATGTTTGTAACTATTTCACACATATCAAAGATTAAGCACAGAATTTGAAATAAATAACAGTTCAAATAATATTAAATTAATCAATAAAAATAAAGTTTTTTAATCAACAACTGCAATGCACACGTCCTAAATGTGTATTTAATGCAGTTTCATATAATGCATTTATGAAGCCTTGTTGACATATCTCTCGTGAGGAATCAAAATATCGCTAAGCAATAAAAAATGTATATATATTTGTCTAGTAAAAATTATATAATAAAAATTATATAATAATTATATGATAAACATAGTTATATCTGAATGAATGAATTCTATACAATATTTTGTCAATTTTGACTATTAGTAATTCGGAAATTATTGTAACTCTGATATTTCTATACTTATTTATGTATGTTTTTTTAATAAAAAAAATTAATATTTTAATTAACCGTCAAAATATTGTTAAAATAATATATATATGCATGCATGATATTTCCTATTGTCAAAAATATTTCCATTATTGAAAAAAAAGATGAGAAAGCGTTTTCACTGAAAATTCACGAAGACAATGAACATCACGATTAGTATAAAATTTCGATCGAATCGAATAGAAATCGGACACCAAGCGCAGGGAA